TTTTCACAATTGCAGAATTCTCAAAATACTAGCTACTTTGAAAAGTGCAAGAATTATTAGGAAGTGGACATCTGGCATTTCTGCGTCATGTATTGAAAATGATGAATATTTTGATTTGATGTGAAAATTGTAAAAGGTGAAAATTCAGGAATATGGAAATACATCGTTGTGACAAATGTGAGAAAAGCTATAGCCACATAACGTCTCTCAGACGACATATACGATCCCATACCAATGCGAAGCCTTATCATTGTGAGCAATGTAAAAAGAGTTTCACCCAGTTAAGTTCTCTCAAATATCATATACGATCACATACCAATGATAAACCTTATCAGTGTGGCCTGTGTGAGAAAAATTTTACCCATTCAAGTGGTCTCAAACGACATATACGAACACATAACAAAGAGAAGCCTTATCATTGTGAGCAGTGTGAGAAGAGTTTTACTCGGCCAACGTATCTCGAACATCATAAACGAACACATACGAATGAGAAGCCTTATCATTGTGAGCAATGTGAGAGGAGTTTCAGCCTGTTAACAACTTTAAATATCATCTGCAAACACATACCAATGAAAAGTCTTATCACTGTCAGCAATGTGAGAAGAGCTTTAGCCATTTATTTATTCTCAAACGACATATACAAACGCATACTAATGAGAAACCGTATCATTGTGAGCATTGTGAGAAGAGTTTTGCACAGTCAAGTAATCTCAAACAGCATATGAGAACACATACCAAAGAGAAGCCATATCATTGTATGCTCTGTTGGAAGAGTTTTGCCTCGTCAAGTCATCTCAAATATCATATACGAACACATACCAAGGAGAAGCCTTATCACTGTGAACAATGTGGGAAGAGTTTTTCCCACTTATACTCACATAAACGGCATATTCAAACACATATCAAGGAAAATAATAATTATAAGAAACATACGACTAGATTTACCTTGCCGAGTCATCTCAATCATATGCAAACACATACTATTGATAATAATCCATATGAAGAGGAAATCGCCAGTATATTAAGTTTGTATGGTCGTACAAAAAAGCGAGGACAACCCGTTGAACAAGAAAGTAAACTTGAAAATTTTACTTACATAGATGCAAATAATAAAAGTGTTACCGTGATGCCTAATTCAGAAATTCATTTTTACTGTCATCAGTGCGAGTGTTTATATAGTCAATTATCTAGGCAAAGACACTCATTAATTATTCATAGAAGTGAGAATTATACTTATAGATGGGAAACAATGAATGAAAACAAACAGTTAACTGTTACACTTAAAGAAGACGAGTGCCCAAGTGACGAAGAACAGAAACAATTGTTAATTCATGCAGCATTTATTGTTGAGCAGGGAACACCTGACGAAATGGAAGATTTCAGATTATACAGTCACATGGTTGATAAGCTCTGATGTTTAAATTTTTTGCTTTATTACTTCTGGGCAATGTAATGAAATACGTTCATACTTTGTGTTAATGAAAGAAGTTCCAACAACTTATCTCTGTTACTGATTCTGATTCAGATTCTACACATGCATTCTTTTCAGGATGTTAAAATTCATCAATTTCCATCGTTTTGGCGATTTCGAACATCACTGGTTGTCCATTAGGTTGTCTTTTGTCCTTGTCCTTCTTTTAACTCTGATGTTGACGGAGTGAAACTATCCATATTTGGTAAAAGAAAAATGTTCACTTAAAACTGTGTTTGATGTTTTTTTTGGAAAAACCACAGGCTTAATTGTTTTGATATTTCATAACATCAATTTCCTAGTGAATATTTTACTATTCTAAAAATGGATTTGATATTCCTTTCTCATTATGCGTCTTCAACACCAAGCTATATCACAGTCCCTCCACGGGACTGTGGCTACATGTCTATCAGCTGACAGACTTCTGGTTTATTTTTTGTACATTCTTCCCTTTGCTAGTAAATGTATTTTTAACAAAGACATTTGTGAAATGTGCACCAGTACTTAGGATGAACAAATGATGTATGCAGTTTTAACCTAGGGTTTCAATCCACAGTTTACATTAAGTAAAATTCATACATGTTACACACGTAGGACTCATTTTATTACACTGTTCAGGGGACTCCCAACAACCATCGCAAAGTACCGTTTTCTGCGAGTTTTTGGTCTTTGTTTTCACCACGAGGGTTGCCAGGCGGTAGAAAATGCCCGGATGTCCGCCCCCGAGGATAGACTGGTAAATACACCTGAGTATGCATGATATTGGACATGGGATATATTGCTCACCATGATTAAAATGTCTAGGGTTGGAGAGAAGTGAATTAAATTTATACTTTTGTTTACAGAGAATTGCCATCTGATTGGCAAGTATGATTTTAGAGGGTAGTGTTTATGTTAAATCTCCAAGAATGTAACACTTTATAAGTTTTTTTCTGAGAGTTGAATAAAAAGTCAGAGTTTGCATTGGGTGAGCAGAGGCTTCTGTCCACATTCTGCTAGTAGGCAACATTGGGCTGAAACCACTGAGTTTTGTGTAGTTATTGAAATGAACGAGCTTTATCCCTGTGAAATGTCTATGTTTTAATGAAATGTAGAATCTATTCCAGAGTATCTAAGTAACATCATTTACTTGAAGGTATCCTCCCATCCTTAAAGCGGAACAAGGGTATTATTAGAACAATATGCCAGCCAAAATTAGTATGCTAATCTGACACAAGCCAGTAGCATCATGATGGGGTTCTCCCGAAGAACGTGCCAGTTGCTGATGTTTGTGACTAATACTAACGCATCTTGATTGGACTGTGAATATTTGTATTATGTAGTTTCCAGTCGAAACTAACCATTACACATGAAAAACATGTTCAACTACAATGCATGGATATAATTTGTACTTAGTGAGCTTTCTTTGATATTAGTTGGCTGGTTTCAAGATTGTAGGAAATTGTCAATGAGATGTCAACATTTCCTATACTCGAACTATGTGTGTGCATCTAGGTAACACTTCATGATAATAGGTTATTAGCTGTTTATCGTATAAAAATCACCAATCAAGTTTTCCCTGCCTACAGCAGCTCATCAAGTTTGATGTTTATTCTGACTCTACAAGCTGTTTGCTAAATGTTGCACAGTTTTAAGAGTATCAGGCTTTTCATTTAATATGACAATATATGAGATTGTTCACTGTCTATTGGCTCCGTTATTGATATAGAAGTAGTTTAAAACCAGGAAGCAGACAGCTACAATTATGTACATTTTGGTACATACAAAACCTATCGACTGAGAAAGTTTGTATTATATTTTATCTCACAAAGTTCAAACATTGAAAGAAACCGACTGAAGTATCAGGTGGATTGTACTGGCGGTTACAAAGTCATATATTGGTTCACTTTCTTGCGAAGGTTATGAACCTCCTGTTCTAGTTGTCTGGTGGGTTTGTGAGGTTTATTCATCACTTTCTTTAGGCATTATATTACTTTCTTTAAGCCCTACAATATGTTGATGTGATTGGTATGTATTTTATCTGGTTACAAATTTAATCAGCACTAAAACTACTGGTAGGATGTCTTAAAACTACTGGTAGGATGTCTTAAAACTACTGGTAGGATGTCTTAAAACTACTGGTAGGATGTCTTAAAACTACTGGTAGGATGTCTTAAAACTACTGGTAGGATGTCTTAAAACTACTGGTAGGATGTCTTAAAACTACTTGGTAGGATGTCTTAAAACTACTGGTAGGATGTCTTAAAACTACTGGTAGGATGTCTTAAAACTACTGGTAGGATGTCTTAAAACTACTGGTAGGATGTCTTAAAACTACTGGTAGGATGTCTTAAAACTACTGGTAGGATGTCTTAAAACTACTGGTAGGATGTCTTAAAACTACTGGTAGGATGTCTTAAAACTACTGGTAGGATGTCTTAAAACTACTGGTAGGATGTCTTAAAACTACTGGTAGGATGTCTTAAAACTACTGGTAGGATGTCTTAAAACTACTGGTAGGATGTCTTAAAACTACTGGTAGGATGTGTCTTACTAACCTCTATTTTCAGTCAGTTCGTAAATGGCATACTTTGAACCTTCGTCAATATTATGCGTTATAAAAATTCCATCACAAAGAAGCCTCTCGCTAATCATCATGATCGACTTACATGAAGTGGAAGAGTAATGGCGTCCTTGGCCGACAGTGATATTTTGTTTAAAAAATGCATAATAAAACTGGTTTTGACTGTTTATAACCATGAAAATTCTTGTCACTGTGAGCAATGTGAGAAGAGTTGTAACCA